CATCCCCTGGAACTCGAAGCCGGCATCCCCGCCATCTCCGGGCTCTTCTCTGCCACTGCCAAACTAGGAGATGCGGTGTCTGGTAGGCACGGGAGGCAGGGGACACTGCCATTGCAGCTTTAACGCAGCGGCATCTCCTTCAATGTGGGTTGAAAGAGGGAAAGAACAGTGGGCTGGAAAGAACAGCGGGCGGGCCGTCTGGCCCCCTCATTGCCATGGGGGCATCAGGCAATGCTCGACTGCCTGTACGGTTAGTCTGCCCCTGGCTGTGATGTTGGGTCTGTTTTACAGAGTCTATAGGCTAAGAGGGAATCAGGCTTATCCGCCTTTAGATAGAAAAGGTGTTTCATGCATCTGATCGATTTCTCCGCCAGGTGGGTGAGATGTAAATTAAGGTTCTGATGAGCAGTGTCTAGAGCCAATTTGTTCAATAGAGTAGGCCTACAAGGAGAGAATGATCATAGAACTCTTGTTCAAGGCAATGCTGACGGGTGACATTTGTTCTTAATGATAGCAGAGGTTTTGATGCAATGCCCTCTCATCACCGCCTTGTGGGCTTCCCAGATGGTTCAAGCGAATGTAGTCCATGAAATGATAGCGTAGGGAGGCTTTTAAGGAAGAGTCAGAGAAAAGGAAATCATTAAATGACCAAGAAGGGGAAGCGCCACTGGCTAGCAATGTGTGGTCAGACCAGGAGATGGGGAGAATTCGGGCTGCAGTGAGGGAAGAAAGCAGAGGGTGGGACAGAAAAATATGGTCAATGGGACCTAAACTGGTTTGAAAATGAACCCAGGAGCGGGGGGTTGGTCACAAATCCTCTCCGAGTCCCGACTCGAACGACGCTCACAAATGAAACTCAACAATATAGTAAATTCGTGATCAATGGAGATATCCGTAGCATACCAGAAGTCAAGGGGAGTACATTAGAGCATGAGAAGGGGGCGGGGGAATAGGGAGGCATTAGGAAGGAATGGGTATAGAAAAAGGAAGGGAAGGGAGGTAACAAAATATGGGCTTGTGCTGATGTTCTCCCGCCCTGACTCATTAGGAGGGGCATAGCATTTTTGATGAGGGCTCGGTGAATGCCCTCAAACTCAAGCCATTCAAGTGGGAAAGAAGGGAGAAGTTCCTGCAGGAGGGCTGCAATGGAAGAATGAAGATCCATTGCCATGTCAGGGATTCCACGGAATCGAAGATTAGATCTCTGGGAACGGTTCTCCAGAATTTTCGTTCATCAGAGAGTCCAGGTCCCTGTCATAAGTATCTAGCGTCATGGCAGTGTCATCCATGCGTGTTTCCAAATCTGCAGTACAATGGCCTAGTTCCCTGATTTCCCTTGAAAACCGGTCCGCTATCTGCTTGGAAGTGGTTTGAGGGGCCTTGTTTAGCATTTTGTCTATCCGAGTGAAGAGTTTTTTATGGCTGGGGATGGCACGGGTAGGAGAAGGGGAGCTGGCGCAGCTATCTTCCTCCTCATCGGCTCGAGGCACAGAGGTAGGAAGGGTGAAGGGCCCTGCCGCCTCCATTTTGAAAGCTGTGTCGGCGAGTGCTTCCTTGATGGTTTTCCTTTTCTGCATCAATTTCTGTCCCGTGGGCAACATGGTCGGGACCACTAAGGCTTGAAGTTGCAGCAGTGTGGTCAGGGGGAAAATTCGGTTCAGTCTGGAGGGCTTGAGCGATCAATCAGGACTCGGAAGGTAGGGAGCCGATCTAGGACGCATCCATCTTATATAGCCACACACATGCGACCCCGCATCCTAGAGATTGGCCTCAGAGTATAAAATAGCACATAGAGAGCTAGAATGTCTAAGTTTTGAGGAAGGGGGCGTGTTCCCGAAAACGCGTTAAGCATTAGCAGTGGGACTCTGTGTGGAGAACAGAGTCTCCTGAGTGTCTCCTCCATCTCTCCTCCTGTTACATCTACAGCAGCAACTCAATCAAGGACTGTCAATTTATTCTTATGCTTTTATATACTGCTTCATTTGTGAGTATATTTTTGTTCACTTTCTAATCAATAAAAAGGTTTTACCTGCACCAGGAAAGGCGGCCGGTTGTTTTTTGCTTACTATGGCTAGAATTAGCTCCTGAGGTAACCTATTCCACAGTTTCACAGCTCTTGCTGTGCAGAAGCCATTCTGTATGTGGAGATTAAACTTATTTTCCTCCAAATGCAAGAAGTTCCCCCTTTTGCTTTGCATTAATATAGTAAAAAAATAAAACCCCCAGTGGTGAATAAATACCACCAAAAGAAAGCTCTATCTGTCCCCAAAAAAGGGTATAAAATTCATTTCAGTACAGCGCTGCATGACGGAATAAATGTCAGTCAAAGTACCGCAGCGCTGAATACTGAAAAATGGCCTGGATGGGAAGGGGGTTTAACACCGCGGATGTCAACTGGTTAAAAGCCTTTACTGCTGATCGCTGATCAGTTTAGAGTTATTAGCATATTTTGGCCCTAGAATTTTTGCTTTCATTTGCGGAGATACCTAACACCTAAGGTTCTGCCGTCTGGGGACCAATATACCCATGATGCCTCTCATACCCTCTAATACAGGATTGTACTTTATTGTCTGTTTACCCTGCACTTCAGCCAGGTGGTTTGTGATCGCTCTGAAGAAGGAAGCGCTGAGAGCACAGCACTTCCTGCTTCAGTGATCACAGAGCAAAGTGGGGAACGGACATTTAGCTTATACTCTCCATCTACACACCATTTGCCATGGTCCTGGGCCCCCATAAGAGCTGGGGACCCCGAAAACCATGGTGGGTGCAAGGGTGGGGGAGGAGAGCACAATGATAGGCTGCTACAAGTGATTTGGACAGCTGTACAGCAGCCTAGATCACTTGTACATGACAAGTATCACCTGCTAAAAAAATTATACCAATATCACGGATGTATACGTATGACTGTCTTGAAGTGGTTAAATTATATAGGTGGTCTACAGAGATATTTTTGGTAACAAGTGGTTAAGAGAAAGCTCTAGGAGTGGTTAATAGAGCAAACAGGACAAGAGTGGACCCGCATGGTGTGCTGGAAACCGTTCAGTAGCGCTGAGAGCTATGGTACATCAGATCTGATCTCATGGCCCTGGTTACTGGATTAGATACACGGAACACTTGACTGGCTACAAATTTCGGTCTAACAGCTTCTGACATTTGATGACTGTGGGCGAGCTCTGAATGATGTAGACACCGAGAGCAAAACGCTGAAGGAGATCGTTATAAATTGGGTTTCTTATGTGTTGAGAGTGCTAGCTGACTGTCAGTTTACAGTCAGTAGTTGTGGTGAGTGTACATCCATTGGGAGTTTTTCATGGAGGATAAAAGTCACATTCATCTGGAGCACAGACTGGGGTTTGTTTATCTACATACAATTGGATGTGGAATTCACTTGGGACATTCAGTTTAATTTGATCTAATTATCTTATTCACTGTTTCTGAATTGTACTGATCTAATGGAGTTCTGCTAATATCAGTCAATTATCATTATTGTTATCAATTCATTTACATTGATTTCTGTTGATGTAATATTATTAATAAATAATCTTTTATTTATGTATTCATTGTTACCACTTGATGATTGCTTGTATTATTTAATCTAGGTTTTAAGGGTGTCATTTACGACTGATTAGAAGTTTTTAAATGATGTAATGCATGTGTATTTTACTTTAATTTAAGTAGGAGAGCACTGTATTCATTTTTTAAAACAAATTAATTTACTTATAAATTACAATATTTTGAACATTGGGGATTTACTTAACTATTTAAGGGGTATGTTTATCTATATACAAATCCTGCATGTTTACAGCATATGTTTAGAACTTTTATGTAAATTGCTTCATACAATTGTTGCAATATATTTCTATTACAGACATTTATGACATTAAATAAAATCTCTTATTTTAATACCCATTTTTATATTCCTTTGTACGAAAGCAAAAAATATAATCAGAACGTAACATGGAAAACAAACTATAAGAAAAAGAAAATACCTGTGTTTTGTCTTCTGGCACGTTTAGCCAATGGTTAAAAGCTTGAGACAACTTTGTCCTAATTTGTTTACCTATAATTGGCAAGAAATAAATATAAATCATACAAAATTCATGGAATAAAAGAATATGTAACAGAACAAATAATATACATTGTCAGAACGTTTGCTCTGATTAAAATCAGTATTTTATTTATGAAAACAGCTAGAGATCAGTAATTAGGAAGATTTCATAATAATCTTCATAAATTAACTGATTACCTGAGTTCTTTATATGCGCTAATTTAAAGGCGAAATAAAACAAATATTGTGAAATTTATATATATTTATTGGTGACAATAAATAATAAGAATCAAAATATGCAATTTCTCAGCAAGTATAATACTATAAAACAAAAACCACAGGATATTGTCCCAAATATTCATAAAACAGGACCATATCTCTCATGAAATGCAGCTAGCAAAACTATCAGTATGTGGTGATGACAAAAGAATGTGCAGATTTAACATGTGACATCTTCCAGCAAAACAGATGTTTAGAGCTCAAAATTCTTACCACGCGTGAACAATATGGCATACTTTTCTTACGCACAGGATTGGCTAATTAGCCTGAAATCTATTTGAAGTAAAAGACAAAAGTCCAGCCAAGCTATTATATA